CAAGTCACTTAAGTTTTCTAAGTATATAATACTACCCTACATATTAATAGAATCTAATTCAGAAACCATAAGAAAACTTAAAAATTGTCCTAAGATTTCAGGGGCTCTTCAAATCTTTATTTAAATATTACCTTTAATTGGGTCTCACAGACACTATAAAATTATTTTTCAGAATTTTTTAAAGTCTTCATTTTTCTAGAACAAGAACCCATAACCATTATCAGACTTGCAAAACCTTACATGAACCTCCCCAAACTAAGATAATGTCTTTTTTTCTTCTACATTGTTTTATTGACATCATTTAATTGTATAAGAGTCTTTCATTTTGACATGTCCATATGTGCATACAGTCTTGAGTCTAAATAGGAGCTAATTTGCAGCTGCATTCTAGATTTTTCTCTGGCTAACCCAAAGGGACATAATCCTGTTGTCATGAAAAGAACAGTAGACTTCAGTCCATTCGATAGAGGTAGAAGCTGTCTTATGTCATGGTAGAACATGGTCTCTAGAATAAAGCTTTCTGGGTTTTTTTGTTTTGTTTTGTCAGTCATGGGGCCTGAACTCTGGGCCTGAGAAGCTGTCTCATGTCATGGTAAGAACATGGTCTCTAGAATAAAGCTTTCTGGGTTTTTTTGTTTTGTTTTGTCAGTCATGGGGCCTGAACTCTGGGCCTGAGAAGCTGTCTCATGTCATGGTAAGAACATGGTCTCTAGAATAAAGCTTTCTGGGTTTTTTTGTTTTGTTTTGTCAGTCATGGGGCCTGAACTCTGGGCCTGGGCGCTGTCCCTCAGCTCTTCAGCTCAAGGCTAGCATACTATCAATTGAGCCACAGTGCCACTTTGGCTTTTTCTGCTTATGTGGTGCTGAGGAATCGAAGCCAGGGCCTCATGCATGCAAGGCAAGCACTCTCCCACTGACTCACCTTCCTAGCCCAAAACTTTGTTTTTGTTTATGTTTGTTTTTTAAATAAGTTTTTTATTGTGAAAATACTGTACAGAGGGGCTGCAATCACATGAGCAAAGTAATGAGTACATTTCTTATAAAGCATTGTTGCCTCCTCCTTTGTTTTCCCCTTACCATCCCTTCCCTCCCATCTCCACAACTACATCATCCCTCCTCCCTCCCCCCAGCCTAAATTGTAAATTTCATTTTTTGACATAGCATCTTCTACACCTCATTGTTGCAATGGGTCAACCTGTATCCCTATTTAAACAATTTGTTTTCTCCCTTCCACTCCCCAAATTATACCAAAATCAAATACAGTGAAAAGAGGGGGGAGGGATATACAAAGCAACAAAAAAATCATGTGGTACCTTATAAATACGTTAGAAACAATAGCAAGAAAGAACAAACCACTTGATTTTATTCTTTCCTTCTAAAATTTACCATGTAAAGCACCCTATAGTTTCAACAAAACTCGTAGGAAAATAAGGGAAATGACCATCTGTTCCAAGGTTCTAATTGACTTCTGATTAAGTCTTTCTCCAAAACGTAGGATTTAAGCTCCAAAATTCGGGCTTAAAAACAGAAAGTTGTGAAACCCTAGGTCTCCTTGGCACAGGATTTTAATTAATTAATTTTAATTTTAGTATAGACCCAGAAATACAATTGTCTGTTTTTAAGCCCCAATTTTGGAGCTTACATCCTACGTTTTGGAGAAAAACTTAATCAGAAGTCAAATTAGAACCTTGAAACAGATGAGCATTTCCCTTGTTTTCCTAAGAGTTTTGTTGAAACTATAGGTGCTTTACATGGTAAATTTTAGAAGGAAAGAATAAAGTCAAGTATCATCAAGTTTAAAGGACAACAGTAATCTTACCCATTGCCTATTTTATTTTGCCATTTTTACAACTTGGAGAGATTTGTCTTATAAAAATTAATATTTTGCCCACTGAAAATTATGGTGAGGGCTGGGAATGTGGCTTAGTGGTAGAGTGCTTGCCTACCAAGCATGAAGCCCTGAGTTCAATTACTCAGTACCACTTATTCAGAAAAAGCCAGAAATGGCACTGTGGCTAAAGTGGAGAGTGTTAATCCTTGAGCAGAAGAAGCTCAAAGACAGTGCCTGGGCCCTGAGTTCAAGTCCCTAGACTGGCAAAAAATAGAAAAAAAGAAAATTACAGGTGCAATTTTCACTATTTTCTTTTACCACAGTTTGTTTTTCCCATACTTCCTCCTGATACTAGTCCTCTTAAACCATAAATATGGCCCTTGGAGATTTAACTTCCATCTTTTACCAAAGTTAATCTTTTCCTATTTATGAGGAGCAAAATATACAAATGAAGAACTACTTCAAATGAGAAGTGGGAAAGAGTATTTTCAAAAGTTAAATTTGCCCTTATTGGTAGATGTGATTTTTTTTTCCACACAAAAGTTATAAATAAGCAAGTATGAAAATGAAAAGATGAAGTCTACTTGAAGTCTGACCAGTGCAAATGTCTAAGACTATGCTGCATGCTGGGTCATCACAAACTATGTAACAATTGGATATGTGGTTTCATTTACACCTCATTATAGTTGCTGTTTCATACCTACACCAGTTCTTAAATGGCCACCTTGGATGTGGAGGATATCTGATAAAGCAAACTTCTCCCCATTCCCCAGGGCTTAGAAATGCCCTTCCATTTCTTAGAAAATGCCACAATTGTATATGTATTACTAACATCATCATTAAACCTTATTCATAAAAATACATAAGATCTGGAGGATCTGTTCATAGCTTGATTGAACAGTAATAGTATTTTAAAGAAACAAAAAAAAACCCTAATCCAAACCTAGATTTCAAATCATCGGTTGTGATTTGGACTCTTATGGATGAATGTATTTTATACTTCCATTTTCCCCAATCAGAAAGTGATTGAAAGTATATGTTTTTAGATCGTGGTTATATTCTACTGTCTCTTCTAACGGGTGCTTCCTAATTTGCTAATGACATTACTGTAGCTTTATTAACAGATGACATAATTCTCATTGAGAGACTCACACTGAGATTTTTCTTATTTATTTGCTTATTTCATGAGTTTGATCACATGGTACTTTTTGTATTTTTAAATAATGAGATGTCTGTTGCTGTAGTTTGAACAAACGATCTCCTGGTTGTTCCTAACCACATGGAGTGATTCTGCATCAGTGAACGTGTACTTTCTTTAATTTCCTTTTCCTTATTAATAATTGGTTTGTTCTGTTGCCTGTTCACATACTCTTACAGATGCAACTAATTCATGAAATTTCCAACTTAAAGAATTTAGTTAAACATGCAGAAATATATAATCAAGATCTTGAGGTGAGCATTCTTCTAAGTAAATTTGAGTTCTATAAATTTAAACTCATGTAAGTTCATTTTTAATCCTTTTGAATTCCAGTCAAATAGTAAATTGTGTCTTATTCTTCTTTGATTATTTTAGAATGAACTGAGTTCAAAAATAGAGCTGCTTAGAGAAAAAGAAGATCAGATTAAGAATCTGCAGAAATGCTTAGACTCTCAGAAGTCAGAAGATATGAAAATGGACTTGTCATATTCATCGGTAAAAAATCACCTTATTCTGTGGTTATTGTGGTACTGTTAATATAGTAATACATCACACTCATTACCATAGCCTGTGCTTAGATTTGGCTCACTATGTACTGCCATAGGTTGAGTCAATTTCCATGTATTTTCTTAATTTGTCAGTACCCTGTGATAAAAAGACGAAGTATCATTGCCATTTTACAGATAATGAAACATACATAGAGTTGAGCATATCATTTGTAAGTTAACTGTAAGGAAGTTAAGGACCAGCTTCCATTAAAAATCAGTGATTTGGACAGGCCTGGTGGCTCACTCTTCTAATCTCCACTACTGAGGAAGTGGAGTTGAGGAGGATGAGGATTCAGGGGCATCCAGAGCCAAAAATTTGATGAATCCCATCTCAACAAGTAAGCCAAGCCAGGCGTGGTGGTGTACACTTGTCATCTAACTAAGCAAGAGAACATAATAAGATCACTGTCTGAATCCCTATCTGAAAAAAATAATCAATGTGAAAAAGAGGCTGGGGGCATGACTGAGGTGATAGAAGACCTGCTTAACAAGAATAAGGCCGTGAGTTCAAACCCCAATACTTCCAATAGAACAGTGATGAAAAAAAAAAAAAATTGAAGCCAGGCTCCAGTGGTTCATGCCTGTCATATTAGCTACTTGGGAGACTAAGACAGGAGGAGCATGAATTAAGGCCAACCTGGACAAGATCTCTTCAAAAAATAGTTAAGCAAGCTAGTGAGTAGGCAGCCGTCATCATAGTTATGGGAAAAGCTGAGCATGAGGGGATAGTAGTAAGACTTGACTAAGTATGCCCTGAGTTTAAACTCTCGTACCACAAGTTATGTCGAAAAACTTTACAACTTTGGCCAGGGGAGAAGGGGGTGATGGAAATAGGGGAAACAAAGGAGGAGGTAACAATGCTTGATAAGAAATGTACTCATTATCTTGCCCATGTAATTGTAACCCCTCTGTATGGTATTTTCATAATAATAAAAAATTATTTTAAAAAAACTTGTACCATTTAAAAAAGAATTTTTTTCATTTGTGGGGTTTTTTTCCAGTTGTTTTATAGAAACACTAGTGGAATTATATAGTCAAGATCCTTAATATTAGACTTGGTAAGTCAATATAAAATTAATACCATAAGCATCTGGGCATGATTTCATTTCATGAAAAATTTCATTATTTTCATTTAAGTCTCATGAAGATAATTCTCATCATCAAGTGCCTGTTTTATTAGTTTATAGAGTTTATGAAACCTGCTCTTAACTGGTAACAGATTTCTTAAGGTACTTGTGTGTTGCCTTTTTTTTTTTTTTTGTACTATTACTGGGACTTAACACCAGGCCTCTCTTGTTCTCACTCAGCTTTTTCAGTCACTGCTGGTGCTCTACCTCTTGAGCCATGCCTCCACTTTCCAGCTTCTTGCTGATTAGTTGGAGATAAGAATCTGGAGATTGGAGATTTGTCTGTTTGCACTGGCTCTGAACCTCATTTCTCAGATCTCAGTTTCCTGAGTGGCTATTAACACAGGGAATGAGCTACTAGCTAGTATATTGCTTTTATAATGTACAAAAGGCTAGAATCTATTTTTTAATGTTTTAATTATGAAAAACTTGATTTGTTTGGTTCCATAGCATATTTTCCCCTTTTTGATGAGTTAGGAACCACATTTGTGCACAGGTTGTCTAACGTACTTAAAAATCTACTAGAACTAGAGCTCACTGAGTCCCTGTGTTGTTGCTTAGGAAAGCACTGAGGACCTAAAGCAAATGAGACAAACTCTCTGTGATGCTGAAACTGTAGCTCTGGATGCCAAGAGAGAGGCATCCTTTCTTAGGAGTGAGAATCTGGAGCTGAAAGAGAAAATGGTAAGTAATTTTGGAGAATTTCATTACAAAACAGTTACCATAATAATTACTTTTTCTTTTCTTTTCCTTTTCATAATTTTCCAATGTTTCTCCAATAGAAAGAACTTGAAAATGCCTATAAGCAAATGGAAGATGATATTCATCTTTACCAATGCCAATTGGAGGCAAAAAAGAAAATTCAAGTTGATATGGATAAAGAATTACAATCTGCTTTTAATGAAATAACAAAATTAACCTCCCTTATGGATGGCAAAGTTCCAAGAGGTATTTTATCATTTCAGACTGCAAACTGACTTC